TGGCACTCAAAATACTTGCCAGCCCTTCCAGCTCAGGTGCCAGCAGGCCAGAGCAGATGCCAGTGATCTGGGAGCTGCAGTGCTGGCTAGGCAGACCTGTTGTGCGGGGCTGGCTGCAGAGGAGACCCACTCCTTTTATTTCCTGGCTCTGTGTCCTCAGTGAGGCCACAGCAGTCCCTACTCGTCAGTGTGTGGCAGAGAGTGCTTCATAGGGCACCTCGCTCCACTTGGTCTGAATTTTAAAAGGCAAAGTTTGGGTGAAAGTAGACCCTGACAGCTATTCACTTTCCATGGTGCTGGGGCCAGAGCAGGGATCACTCCCGTGAAGAGGGCCTTCACCCTGTCCTAGAAGCACACGGCTCTCTTTCCTCACGTTGTTGTTGGCACATTCAATTTTTAAAAGTACCTCACGAGATTGCCTGGATCAGCCCTGTAGCTGTATCAGAGCACTTTGCTCTCACCCGTGCCCTTGCTGTTATTCTTCCCAGTAGGGTTTATTTTCCTGGCAAAGACAGATTGTTGGGAACCTCGAGAATGAGAGCTTCTATTTTGTAATTCTATATGAAGGATAACTGCTTGTTTAGGATAAATAAATGCTCCAGGCTTTGTTATAGATATGACTTTAAAAATATGCTAAGCCCCTTGACATATGGAGAAATTCTCACCTACCTGCAGTGTTGCCGATAGATTGCAGTTATTGGTGACTCAGTTATAATGAAGGAAAGAGCCTTGAGCTAGACACAAAGCTGCTTGAGGTGATGGTGGGAATGTAAACAGCATGGTGGCTAATGGATGCTTGTTTCTGAGTTCTCCTGAACCAATTGGCCTGGCCCCCAAGTCACATCTGTGTGTCTCCAAGTGGACTCCTGTTTGGCTTGTGGGCGGTCATCATATAAAGCATGTTCACTGGGTTTTAGTCATATGGATTTTGAAACTCTGAGAAACCTGCTATCTCTATCCCCTTCTAAAAAGCTCATCCTGGTTTATCTGTTTCCTCAGCTGTACCAGGAGCACATGATCTTAAGCTCCTCTTCTTGGAGCTGGTCACCATTTGGCTGTCACTATCATTTTCTTGAATATATATAGTAATAGTTATTAGTGAGCTTTTAAAATATCTCTCTAATTTCTCTTTTTTTCTCAAAAAGGGCCTACTTTGTTGGCATTAGTGTTGGGACCTTTACTAAGTTTAAAGTCTTATTTTGTCTCTATTATAGTAGGTTTGTCTTTATTGTTACTTTTGTATTAGAAGTTACCTGTATAATTCTAGAGCTCAAGTTCCATGATGGTTCTTTGTTTTTTAGGGCCCTACTGTTCTCAGGATGGAGAGAACACATTAAAGCTACTATCTATGTCAGGATTTATTTTATTTATATCTTATTACAATAAAATTAGTGGCACTTTATTCATAAATATTCATAAACCTATTAATTATTGGTTGTCCTCTTGTAGTTTAGTCAACAGGTTATTTTCTTTTTTTTTTTTTAAACAGGTTATTTTCAACTTGATTTTATGACTAGTGAAAAAGCTTTTGCCCTGTTTTGTTCTAGAACCTTTACAAGAATGGAAAATGACAAAAATCCAATTTTAGGTTTATTTTTAGAATATTTTTTCAGCAAATTCGATTTAGTCTAAAATTTAAATTTAGAGCTTTTCTAATGTGGTATTAGATGAAAAAAGTGAATATTTTTTGAATTTTCAGTTCATTTTCAAAAAGTATTTACCAAAACAAATGGAGAAAAACATTTAAAAGCAAATTTCATTTCTATAAATTTTTTGTTTTAAATTACAGTTATTCTATACATGATATTTTAAACTGGCCCCAGTTTTACTTTTCCAGGTAGACTTCAGTTTAGTTTCTTCCCAGCTTGCTTCTGACGGTGCAGACTGGGGAAAGGGGAAGGAAAGGTCCGTCAGTGCCGTGCACGTCAGCCACACGCACGGGGTGGTCGAGCAGAAGGCAGAGGGTTGTGCACTGTCAGCCCCACGCCGTAAGCCTGGGTACACTTGCTTTTTCTTTACTAAGGATACTATTAGAAAATTAACGTGTTCATTCCAGTAAATTTTTACAACATCAACATGTTTTCTGAGCACCAAGTGGCTAGGTTGTGAAAGTTTTACAATTTGCAACTAAAATACATGATACATTTTAATCCATTAAAGACTAGTGGGAATGTATCAGCCAGAGTAGCAAGTAATTTTTGTTTTATAATCAGAGTATCTGTCATCTTGCAGTATTACCAATGCTGTTGTAAATTGAATTTAAAGTGATATTAAAATACAAAACCACCTGTTAAACAATTTTTATCTGTTTGTATATCTTACTATAGATTATGTACAAGTAACATCTAAATAAAAATACACTTTTAACCCTAAAATTACATTTTTAACTTATTTATAACAGAGTTGTATGTGTGACTTATGGGGAGAGGAGACACTGGGTGATGTGTGGGGGTTTTATTTAACATTTTCTTTAGATGCTGAAGATAACGACTCTGACTCCTGTTTAAATTCCTGAATGACTTCAGTGTAACCAAGAGTTCAGATTGAATTCTGTGAGTGGCTCGGGAAGCACTGGTACAGCCAGGAAGAGCCATTCTGGGAGTGGACGCCGCGTGTACAGAGGGTAGAGGCCCGCAAGTGGGACTTAACCACATGCAAACTTAGTAATGACACAGTGACTAAGACTCTGTAGCATTTCTTGCTTATGAGATGTTTTCACTTACTCCTTAAAATCCTTTATCATGGGCATTCTATTTTACATACTAGAAGACTAGAGTGAAGTAAAGTTGCTTACTCAGGGACCCTGGTAGACGTAAAACTCCATCCCAGGGCAGAATTACACTGGGGATAAGTGGGAGTCAAGGTGGGGTAGGGAAGCCTCTAAGGGAGAGTCCGCCTGGAAGGCAGGCTTCCAGTGGGAGCTGCTTTCACTTGCCAACACTGGGGGGCGTACCCCTGCCATAGCAAACGTCAGACTGTGCCGAGGGCCTTAGCACAGTGCCCGGCCTCCTAGACAGCGGCTGCTTACTGAATGATTCAATGAATGGATGGATTTGGGTTACTATACTCCTACCAATCTAATTATATATATATTAGACCTTCTGATAATGGCCTCCAAGTCCTTGAGGCTCTTATAATTTGAAATACTTTTTTTCCTGTCCTGTAGATTGGATAATTTTGATTCTATCTTCATACTTCACTTGATTCTATCTTCATACTCACTGACACTTTATTCTGTAATCTGCAATTTGCTCTTAAGCCCGTCTCTTTACTTCAGACATTGTATTATCTTATTCTGGAATTTCTTCTCCTTGTTTATTGTTCATTTCTTATAAGCTTATATTCTTTACATTTCTGAACATAGTTTTACTGGTTCCTTAAAAATATTTGCCTGCTGATTCCAATACGTCTTGAGTGAACGCCTCTTAGTTTTGGTTTGAACTTTTTGAATGATACATTTTAGAGGCTCTGGATTCTATTAGATTCCTCTGAAAAGTACTGATTTGGTTTTTTTTTTTTTTTTTTTTGAGACAGAGTCCCACTATGTCACCCTTGGTAGAGTGCTGTGGCGTCACAGCTCACAGCAACCTCCAACTCCTGGTCCTAAGCAATTCTCCTGCCTCAGCCTTCCAAGTAACTGGGACTGTAGGTGCCTGCCACAATGCCCGGCTAGAAAAGTACTGATTGTTTTTAAAGGTCAGCAGTTAATATGGCTGGAATTAAGCTCTCAACTACCCTCCACACACACATGCATAGTCGATTATAGTGAAAATGTTTTGAATTCTTTTAGCCTTACCCAGGCTGCTTGGAGTTGGCTTGCTTATGCCTAATTAAAGGATCAGCCAGATAGCTGGGCAGTTTTACTCATAATTTTTGTATCTCTTTCCCTGGGTCTTATTTCCAGGATCTTTCTTCCCTTTCTGTCTGCTTTAGTTACTTTCAGTTTTTAAGCCAGTAAGATGGTGGGTTAAGCCAGTAAGACAACACTGCAGATTTTCTGTTCAGGCTTAGCTGCCCAGCTTGGCAAGACTGCGCCTGCCCTTAGTAAAATGCCTTTTAAAAATAGGAAATGACACGAAATTTTTTCCTTCTTCTGTACATCAGCTCCCCTTTCGTGTCTTTCTGTTTTTGATTTCTGTCCAATGCCTTCAGTAGTTGTGAGGTGTACTTTGTCTAGTTTATAATCGTTTTCTGTGCAGAGTTGGTCTGGAATGTGCTAGTTGTCCAATCCTGGGAGCCCCCTTCTGAAAATGTTCTCTGCAAAGTTTATTTTCAGAAATATTTCTAAATGTGGGCTGGGTGTAGTGGCTCATGCCCGTAATCCTTGCACTCTGGGAGCCCAAGGCAGGGGGATTCATTGAAGTCAGGAGTTTGAGAATAGCCTGTGGAAAAGTGAGATCCCTCTCTCTACAAAAAATAGAAAAATAAGTCAGGCATGGTGATGTGTGCCTGTAGTCCCAGTTACTTGGGAGGCTGAGGAAGGAGGATCGCTTGAACCCTGGAGTTGAGGTTGCAGTTAAACCACTGCCATCTAGCCTGGGCAAGACTGTTAATAATAGATTCTAAATGCGATTTTAAAAATGTAAACTGATGTTGCATACCAAGTTATAACAAATGACTGTTTCCATTTTTCTTCCAGGCAAACTTGTTTTTGCAAGGACCCCATAATAAAAATTATGACATTTTTATTTAATTCAATGGTATGTTAAGTGTTGCAAGGAACACTTCAACTATGCTTGTTGGTATCTCCTTATCTCCGTAAATCATAAAGTTCTCTAAACTGTGTGAGCAAAACAGTACATGAGTAATGCAGGGATTGAGATAGACAAATTCTAAGTTTTGTTAAAACTCGAATTTGTTAATTTTTTTATGTCTCGATTTTACTGTTCACCACACTAATGTTTTCATTGTGTGTTAACACAAGTTAGATTCAGTAAAATTTGATACAAATATTTACTTTTTATTAGGGAGTTCATTTGGAAAAAGGGTTCCACGACCTCAAAGGTTGAAAAGCACTGCTTGACATCATCACTGCTTAAGTTGTTACCCTGTCGGAGCACCTGGCACTGTAGTCTCTTGGTGTATTCTGGAGAGACCGTCCTGTCACAAGCTTGAGAGGACATAGGTATTTAATTTGGAGGTATGAGTAACTTGTAAAGCTATCTCAGTAGGGACATAGACGATAAAGAGATTTGCTTTCAAATACTTGCTTTGCAGAGCTGACAGTTGGACGTTGATTTGCCAAAACACAATAGCACCGTCCTATGAATATTTGCTTGTGGTTTTCTAAATCTCCCACTGCATTCACCCTGTGTGCTTGTGGTTTGAATAATTAGCTTCAGATACAGATGTACAGCACCACGATTAGTTAGAAATAGTGAAATGGAAGATAACTTACCATGAAGAAAAATTAAGAAAATATGCCATTTGAGGGTAGTTTTAAGCCTACAGAGTGGTACTTACCATGAAGTGACATTTAAAAGTATTTAACATTCTAGGATGTGCTTCAACCATTCTGGCCTAAAACCGGTCTAAACAGAAGTCATGCAGCTGGAGACGATGGAGCCTGCATATCCTCAGTGTGTGAATGTCACTTAGCATTTACATTTATAAGACATTCCCATGCGTGTGTGTATGTGACCGGCTCAAAATGTACCTTCTACTCCTGAAATCCAGACATTAAGATCTTGGTAATTAAGTCAGGGTGCCAGCTTTTCTCCTTCGAAATGTCTTTTAATACTTCAAAGACTTAGGCATTGGGGGCAGGGGCAGAAAGTACCACCATGAATCAGCACTGCGTGATTGTCCCTGAGAGTGCCTGCTGGTCCTCCCTTCCCCGGGAGCCCATGCCTGCTTCTGCAGCTCTGCTTTAGGGCACTTCCCTGCACTTCTATTTGCACTAGGCTGCAACATGTTGCTGGCCGCAGCTGTGTCCCTCCTTTCCCTGGTTTCTGGGTGGCTTGTCATGTAACTATGAGCCTCCACCACCTGCACAGCAGTCATTTGCCGGACTCCTTC